TTTTTAGTAGAGACGGGGTCTCGCTCTTGCTCAGGCTGGTTTCGAACTCCTGAGCTCAAACAATCCGCCTGCCTCGGCCTCCCAGAGAGTTAGGATTACAGGCGTGAGCCACTGCGCCCGGCCTGGAGATTCTTTTTGATGTTCTTTATTCTGACCCCAGTGTGGGCCTAGTTGGATCTCTCCTCTGGTTGCATTTACTTTTTACTGCCCAAATTTAGGAATTCTTGATGTTTACCATTGTGTTCATTATACAGCAGAGATAGGAGGAGCATGGAAAACTCCTTTTTAAAAGGTAATCATTGTCCTCTTTGGAGGGCATTACAGCAAGCCTCCAACATACCACTGTGTAAAGTGGTCAGATCTCAAAGTACTATAACTTGGTTCAGGCAAGTCAACTCGGTCACTTTCTCCTTCCTGAGACTTCCTAGATGGAAGAGTGGGCCAACTCAAATGCTAGAATCTCTCATTTCAACCCTAAAGATCTGCATATTTCAAAGAAATGGAGGGAAAATGTGTTTGGACCCTTACTATAAAATGTAATTTTTCTTTCTTTTTTTTTGAGGTAGGGTCTTACCTGTAGTCTGGGCTAGAGTGCAGTGGCATCATCATAGCTCATTACATCCTTGAACTCCAAGGCTCAAGCGATCCTCTTGCCTCAGCCTCCTGAGTAGCTGGGACTACAGGCTCACACACCGTGCCCAGCTATTTTCTATGGTTTTTTAGAGACAGGGTCTCATTATGTTCCTCAGGCTAGTGTCAAATTCCTGGCCTCAAGCAATGCTCATACCTCAGCCTCCCAAAATGCTACCATTACAGGCATGAGCCACTGTGTCTGGCCAATTTTTTCTTTTAAACAGTTGCACACCTACAAGGTCATACTCCTTCAGCATTGAGGACACAAGCTTGACTAAAGCAATACAGGCAAGGCAGTTAGTTGACTGTAATTTGGGCATGTCAGATGAAGACTGGATTCTTTAAGTGAATCTCAGTCTCAAGGTATATTTAATCACCATACTTTATGAGAATTATCAGGACAACATATATGTAATAATAGATTTTCTTACTATGCATAAATCAGAAGATTTTTCATTAAGTCTTCTTGGGGGTGGTATTAAAGAACAATTATCTAATTAAATGTTTCCTTATGTTTTAGAGCTTTCTTTGTTGGAAAATGGCCAGTGATAAAAACATGCTTCATTGCTAACTTGTGTTTTTTCCCCGTATTGAATGTTTTCTTCTCTTTTGAGGTGCCCGCGGTCTGCAGATGATGAGCGAAAGCATCCTGTCCTCTGTCTTTTTTGTGGGGCCATACTATGTTCTCAGAACGTTTGCTGCCAAGAAATTGTGAATGGGGAAGAGGTCGGAGCTTGCATTTTTCATGCACTTCACTGTGGAGCTGGAGTCTGCATTTTCCTAAAGTGAGTTGGGAGTGTTCTGGAAGCTTTATAATGAACTTAGGGAATCTATATCCAATCTGGAGGCCATTTTGGTAGGTAGGACAGTGTGTTGATAGGAAATGATCAATCAGAAGTTAGAGTATAAACCTGCGTTTGAGAAGATATTACAGAATAAGTGGCAAAAAAAGAAAAAAAAATTCTATTCACATTTCCATTATTTGTGGTGAATCTTAAATAAGTAGGAAGTACATGTAAATTATGACTTTATGTTGTCCTTTGAATGTCTTCATTTCCTCTATCAACCTGTTTCTCCTGGTCTTTCACCAAAACATCAAGAGTAAAACAGTAGTCACTTATATTTATGAAAGAAGAGTGTAAGAAAGTGGATATGTGTACTTTTTCTTTCCATTCTCCCCATGTAATGCAGTTCTGTTCTATAAACCCAAATATCTTACTAACTATGGAATATATAATCATTACTCATAGCCATCTTTTGAACCAAAGGGAAAGAATGCATGGAAGCCAAACCCAAATACCTATTTTCAGGGAACTCACAGCAAGTAAATCCACTACCTAGCCCAACATTTTATTTTATAATTTCTCTCTATAGTACTTATCCTCCTGTACACATGTACATACGCATTTTTTATGTCTCCACTTATCTGTTATAAGAGTCTCAAGTGCCTTCAGGGTGGTAGTGGTTCTTTTTAATCTGCACTGTTGGAGGCTGGCTCTAGCCAGAAAAGCCTTTGCACTTCCTTAGTTGACATTTTGTCTGGCTTCAGATTATTGGACTAGGAGATGTGGTTCTGTTCTTCTGTGAGTTTTCCCTCCCCATCCCTCCTCAGGTTGTGAGTCAGGAAATAGAATAGAAACAGTCCCAGCCACCATTTTCTAGGGTGTCTGTGGCTCAAGTAGGGACAGCCTCCTCCCTCCCTTTTATATATTCAGTCACTATTACTGATCCCATTTCCCAAAATCCACTGGTCGTTTTCTATAGCTTCAACAAAAATAGCAGTATTTGTTGTTTTTTATTTAGATAAAATACGATTTCGTTTATTTGTCTATGTTTATATTGTCTTTATACTGAATTCCTAACAGATATTGGCCATATCGTTCCTCTAGATTAATTTTGATGTAGTGCCTATCATTTGTACACATGCACTTAATCATATTTCATGTTGGTGGTTTTGTCCTTCAGAATCAGAGAATGCAGAGTGGTCCTGGTTGAAGGTAAAGCCAGAGGCTGTGCCTATCCAGCTCCTTACTTGGATGAATATGGAGAAACAGACCCTGGCCTAAAGTAAGATTTTCTTTAAATAGGAAAGTTTCAATCAGTTCTCTTTTTATAGTGTTCATTTTTTATTTTAGTCACATTATTGTATGTGGATGGTGACAGTTCTTTAAACACAAAAGCTAATGCTATATATTGAGAGCTCTTTTTAAATAGCTTCAAATTTAGAATATTAAATATGATGCCATCCTAAATGTAGCATATAATTTTCAACAACTGTGTGCTTCTCCAAAATTTGAAGGTGATATTTCTCCAACATTTTTAAAGATACCAGCCATCCTAACGTTTGAATGTTCTGTAATTTTAGTCAACCTTTCTTTAGAATTACTTAAAAGGTTTAACACTGATATAAAAAAGAAAGAAATTTGTCCAGTGATGGAGTCTGGTTTAGAGTAGATATTCATTTTTTTCAATTGCAATACGTGAAACTTTTTATTAGCCAGCTATATCCACCTTCTTTGCTTTTGAGCATTAGCAAAATATTTAGAATCCTGAACTTCTCTGTGTCCTTTGGTGGTAGGAACTGGGGTCCAACTGATGGCTGATGAGAATGAGGAGTTAAGGCCACTTTAATAATGGTCCCAAAAGTACATAAAGATCAGATTCCCTTACAGTAAACTCTTTTTGTGTAATTGAAATTTTATTCTTTTTAAATATTTCTCAGAATGAATAGACTCACTAAATGGGGCTTGGGACTTCTTTGATCTTACAGAGATTTGTTTCTATTGTGACAGCATTTGACCTGTCTTTAGGTTTAGGGAGAAAAAGCTGAGTGGTGAAAGAAGGTAATGACTGAGGATAATCTGAGTTGTTCCAGAAAGATACAAAGAAGCAGAACTTTAAAAATAATTAGGCAGTTTGAAAACTCCCAACCAGCTGAGACACTTGAATGCTTCAAGGAATGAGGATCTCACAGTTCTCCATTATTGGCAACAGCCAAACTTTAGTTATTTTGGATTAGCTGTTATGCAGTATTGCAAACTGTGCAACCCTAGAATTGAAGTATGGCTATTTTATTTAAATATTTGCTAATCACCAGCAAGATTTTTGTATCATATGGACAATTATGAGCAAATATTTCTGAGTAACAAAATATAAGTTTAGGGCTTAGTGTTATACCCCAGACCTAACCTCTACTATGCAAAGATCATAAATCGAAGCTGGATAAGCTATATGAGGCCAAAAAGCCACTAGAGCCCCATTCAGGCCTACCACCCAAAAAAGAATAGTGCTGCTTCAAGTTATAAACCTCAATGGCCATTTAAATGAGGTTCCATAATGTCCATGGTATACTTGACCTATTTTAGAAATAGTCAAGGAGTAAATTTCTGCTTTATTAGCTACGTAACCTATCAAGTTCTCAGTGATCAATAATGAAGGGAGAATATCCCTTATTAAACCATGTCCCAGTGAGTCCTCTGAGCTCCAGGAACATCTAAAGAGTACATGCTAATTCAGACTATAAAGATGTGGCAGTTATTTGATTCAAACTTACATGTTTTTTTTTCCTCCCCTGAAGGAGGGGCAATCCCCTTCATTTATCTCGTGAGCGATATCGGAAGCTCCATTTGGTCTGGCAGCAACACTGCATTATAGAAGAGATTGCTAGGAGCCAGGAAACTAATCAGATGTTATTTGGATTCAACTGGCAGTTACTATGAGCTCCAACTCTGCCTCAAGACAATCACGAATGACGACAGTAACAAAGACTGACTCAAAATTACAGAGAACTTTCTGAGGGCTGGGGAAGTGTTGGAGGGTCTTTTGCTCCCTGTCCAGATTCACGTATGTCAATAAAATATTCCTTAATGGAATATTGCTTTCAGTTAGCAAACATATGCTTCAAGGGAAAAAAAGAACGTAGATTAATCTGTTTTATGTCCTAGTACACTGAAGAAGTGCTTGTTCACCCCAAGTGTCTGATTCTGCTAATATTTCCAGGAAACTCTTTCCCCTTCATAATTTGTCCCATTTCATTTCATCCACCTGGCAAATGAAGTCACATCAAACAGTTATGGACATTTTTATATGTTGGTTAACTCTTCTGCAACTTTATATTTGGTGTTTTCCCACAAGTATAGTTTGGCTAACATTGGATCACTGACAAGATTTAATAATCTGTGATAGTCTTCCTTTGCAGCTAAAGAGGAATTACAGAAACAATGCAGTGTCTTCAATTCAGAAAGATTTCAAAAGAAAAATAAAATGTTTTATTACTCTCTTTTAAGGAAATACCCTTAATGTACCACCTGCTGCTATAGCCACAAATTAAACTAAATCTCTATATGGCCAGAGTGCAATTTCTGCCATTATGGAAAGCTTTTTTCCCCACTGTGGATCTCAAAAAGAGTTAGGATAATGTATTCATTATTCATTCCTGATGGTACAAAGAGCCTGTAATCCTAACTCCTTGCTACAAATAGCTTTGTTGAGTTTTGAAATTGTTCTTTACATTTTCAAAAGTTAAGTTTCTATAATGAGCTCACTTATCTTTTGATTGTGGCACCATCCTATTTGACTTTCAGAAACCTGTTGAAGTTCTGATGTAAACTATTTGTAGAAAGAGGTTGGGAAAATTCTCCCAATGAATGGAGCATGACAACTGTAAATTAGAACAGTGAGATTGAAGGCAATTCTGCAACCTTCTGTCTTCATAAAAGACAAATCCTTGTGTTATCTATGTGTAAACTTTTCATAAACTCTGGTTTTATGACTAGTCCAAACCACCAAAAAAGCTATGTGATCAATAATCTATGTCCTCTTAAAACATACTGTGGTTGAGCCATCTTGTTTATAAATAATAGAGCTCCCCCAAATCTGTGCACAGACTTCTTGGTTCTTGGCTTTAATATTTTATATCAAGAACTTGTGATATAAAACAGACAGAGGATAAATTGAAATCTTCCATTTTAGCTTCTGTTGTCTTTGGGGTAATGTTAGGAGTTTGAAAGATGCATTCAAAGACCGTATCTTATTTTGCCTTTGGCTACTATTGTCTTATATATGTGTATAAATGTTTTCCTACCTTCTTTTTGCCCAGCAAAGGCAAGCAAGTAAAAATACATTGGTAAGTGATTAATGATGCACATTTGGGGCTAGATTTTGTGGTACTTTAAAGAAAAGTGGATTTTGCAGTAAGGAATTGGCATAAGCAGGCATCAGAATTAAAATCATGATTTTCTACTTAAATAATTTTTATTAAGGTATCAGGAAATAGATACTACTCTAGTGAACAATTTGTAACAGTTAACAGGTGAGGATCAGAAAATTCAGTATTCAGTTTTTCAGATTTGTATAATTAAATGATTTGAACATTTCCCTTGTTTCTTATATGATTGTATTGGATGGATTGTTTGGCTGGGAAGTCTAGGCTAGAATAGGAAACAGAAGATGCTGACTTGTGCCCCAGTTGATTGGTCCCAGTTTAGCAAAGATAAACTGACTTTATTTCTAGTCTTTTTATACTCACTGCATAAATCCTGGAGTTAAACTCTCAAGCTGCCAGAGGGACTATCTGGCAGTGGTCAGCCAGACCTTTACTGCCAAAGAACCCATTTTGTATTTTCTGCTTATTAAGATTCAGATCTCTACACTATACATGAACGTATGTCTCAGTGCTGCCCCTAGCCCAAGGGATTTCTACTTATATTCACATGTCCTCATAGTTTGCCTTCATCATTGCAAACAATTATGCTTACAAAGTTTACTTACACACAAGCAACTAAGTCACTTTATTTTCCTGGGTGTAGTACATGAAAGCACTGGTTCAACAGGATGGCTCCAAAAGTCTTTTTCTGTTTGGTGAGGGGCTGGCAAGAATTTTAGTGATACAGCAAAGAAAAATATATCTGTATAATTAATTTATTATGTTGGTATATGGGGTGTGAGTTCACCTTTTAGTGGTCATTTGTCATTTCATAACAACTATGCATTTTGGTTCACTGTGATGATCTATATTTAGTGACTGCAACATGTTTATACCACTGATTCAAATTCCATCCATGATGAAGTTATACAAATGCATATATTGATATCTTTTATTGCAAAAATGTAAATTTAAAACTTGTATAATGTTCTTGTGCTTTTTGAAATAAAATATATGTGTATATTTAAAAAGAAAAAGGGGACTTATGTTTGGGAATTTGGGTTTGAAGTATAAAAGTCTGTACCTAGAAAGGAGCTCTAGTTAAAAGTTGTCTTTGTTAGCCCAAGCAAACATTTTAAAAGACATAGATGTTTAGTGTACATAGGTCTCCAAACTTTTTAACCATACACTCCATGAGTAAATAATTTTTAAGCATGCATATCAAATAAATATATACACACATATTTTATATTCATGAATGCTATACTAATACATTAAGTAAATTATAAAACATAGCTTTAAAAGGGAGATTTAAAAATCAGTTAAACATAGAAATAGATACTTAAATATCTTCCAGGTTGAATCCACATGCACACCCTATTGTGGAGACAGCTGTATAGAGCAGCAGTGTCCAGAAGAGTTTTGCAATGATGAAAATGTTCCGTATTTGCGCTACAATATGGTGGTCACTATTCTCATGTGGCTGTTGAACACTTGAAAGGTGGCTAGTACAACTGAGGACCTGAATTTTTAATTTTATTTTAATTAAATTGAAATAGTCATGTGGCTGGTGGCTGCCATCTTTGGCAGCGTATGTCTCACATAATGGCTCTCAAATTTGTGCATTAAAGTCACCTAAAGAGTATTAACAAAATACAAATTCCCAGTTCTCACCCTAGATCCCAAATCAGTGTCCTGGGATTGAGCTTTAAAATAATCAGTGTGATTTCCTTCCATTTCTAAGCCACAACTCTTCACTTAAAATATAGAGTTTTCTTTCTTTTTAGTTCAGTGTTTTTCAGGCTAAGTGCCAAAGAGCTTCTGGGAGAAAAGTAGTCCCAAGAGATGAAAGAGTACGAAACTTGGATAGTTGTGATTTTCCATTTTGAGTTTCTGTACAAGCTTTCATTTGAGAAAAGGATAACTACAGTTTAAAAAAAAAAAAAAATTCAAAGCCACTGCTTTAGTTTTAAGCTTTCGAACTATTCTAAGAGGAGCAACACTGAAGGCAATGTTTTTGGGAGGTGGGGAGATATAGCAGTACTGCTACTCTGAGGCACTTGTAATTGGCTGGGAGAGGTCGCCAAGGGGTCTTCTCCATGCTTATTATACAGAGTAACTGGGCATTACTAGGAAAAATAGATCATACAACCAGGAAAATTGTTCACAGCTTGCATTAAAATTTAAAGCTTCTATACAACAAAGGGTGCTATTAATAAAAAGATAACCAGAATTAGGTGGTATTATCATGTTAACAGTATAGTTTCTGAATCTCCCCAAACCTTTTCCTAGAAAACATATACACCAACCAGGATAACAAAAGAAAAAAACCCAATGTTGATATTGTCAACAAAACTAATAACAGGGAGCCAGTTGTATCCAAAACAATGCCAACAGCAGGACCCGTGCAGTGACAGTGGTAGAAAGTGAAAGCGGATACTGAGTGTGAGTTACAAAGCTGAAAAATTGCTAACAACTTGCAAGTGGTGAGGACGCCGCTCAAAAGGAAACCTGGACAATCAGGTCTGAAAATTACCAACAAAGCTAAGAGAAGTTGTCACATCCTTTAAATTGAGGGTGAGTGGAAAAAAACACAACCTTGCGAGAATCAAACATAGTGGCAGTCTAAGTCCTCCACGTTCTTACAACCATTAAATACTGCCTTCATTACAGAAGAGCCTCACCCTGTGGAATACTGCTAGAAACAAAAACCAAATTGAGAATAGCAGGAATACTGTGGGTAGGTAATAAAATTCAGATTGTGTGCATATGTGATACAAAGTAATACACTAGCAAATTGCAGCATTAAAGATGTTAAGTACAGGAGATTATTGTGAGTACATGACGTTAACAGAGGAGGGAGCCCTGGAGCTGTTAAACTAAAAGCTTTCTTGGCCCATTCCTGCCCATTTAACAGGTACCTCCTCTTAATGGTCCAGAAAACCCATCTCATTTAAGCAAGGAGAACAAAAAAAGAACTCTAAACCTAGCCTCAAATTATTACAAGAAAAAGAAAAGCAAAAATGAACTGAATAGTTACAACTAATGAGAATACAGTAGAGGATTGTGGCCCCAAGGCAGATAAAAACTGTAAGCTAATATTATAAAATTAGTTATAAAAAATTAGGAAAATGATCAAAGCTTCGACAGAAGAACACAACTCAGAAATGTAGTAGAAGATCTCTAAAATGATGTAACAAGAAAACAAGAGAATGTGAAACTCAAGTAAAATTGGGGAAGAATTTAGAAATAACAATGAAAAGAATACAAAAGTGAAGAGTCAACTAGGGAAAAGCACGATAAAAGAAAAAGATGGGGCCGGGTGTGGTGGCTCACACCTATAATCCTAGCACTTTGGGAGGCAGGAGGATCACTTGAGACCAGGAGTTTGAGACCAGCCTGGGCACAAGGGAGACCCTGTCTCTACAAAAAAATGGAAAAATTAGCCAAACATGGTGCCCATGCCTGTAGCCCCAGCTACTTGGGAGGCTGAGGCAGGAGGACTGCTTGAGGCCGGGAGTTTGAGGTTGCAGTGAACTATGATGATGCTACTGCACTCTAGCCCAGGCGACAGAGTGAGACCCTGTCTCAAAAAAAAAAAGATGGAAAGGGGAAAAAAAGGACTTGAGATAAAGTGAAAGATATACAAGATAAGCAAAAAAGATTTGATACATATTAATTGGAGTCCCTAAAGAAAACCAAAACAATGGAACAGAACACAAATGTAAA